GGAAACATAAACCCCTCTGATATCATTTTTATGCCTTCATCAATTTCCTGGTTGGTGTGTCTTGAACATGTTTTAGTACTATTTTTGTTTTCATTTGTATCCTTCTTATAACTTTGCTCTGCTCTACCTCAGTTTGGTGTCACTTCAACTCTATGACCAGTACTTTTTAGCGAGCTCAATGGATGGTTCGGTTAGTAATGCTTATTCATTCAAGTTTTTTTGGATATTCTTTTCCTAGTAACTATGATGAGTGGCATTGGTACCCACTACTAACCGCTATTGTTTTTGTCTAGTAAATATTTTTTCATCAAAATGTAAACTTGAATCTGGTGCAAGCTAGTCTATTATCAAGGGTCAACTAGTAATTTACTATGACAATAGTAATGTGAAGAGAGCCAAAAGAAACCTTACTCTTACTAGCTCACAGGGTTTTCTGCTAAACTTAAATGGCCACTACTTCTACGAGGCCCCTAGGTGTATATTCTTTTATCATGGGACTGCCCCCAGTTTCTTAGTTCGGTATTCACCCCATTTTTCTCAATATATATATATAGAGTAAACTATAAGGAAGTTCTTGATTCGGGCCTAATTGCAATTAGTTTTAAAATTACAATCCAGTTCTTGTGCTTTGGACAAACATGACAATTCAGGCAATGAACTATTAAAATCATTGTAAAATACAAGTAGCTTTTTTTTTCTTTTCAGGAGGATAAACAAAAAAACTCATCAAAAAAGGAAAACACATAAAATCTTGAAGAATTGAAGAGTTTTGACAAAAACTGGAGAGAGAGTTTGGAGAAGTGCGACCGAATAAGCTTGATTGACAAAATTCTCTCTTTAGTGTCCGTCAAATTCTTTTATTTTCTTTGAAATTTAGTGTTTTACTTTATACAAAACTTTTCCATGTGTACTCTTGGAGAAAAAAAGATCAATTTGTATTTCAACAGTGATTTTATCCACAACTGGTCTATTAGGCTAAGTCATAATGCTTGCTTAAAGTACAAGGACTGAATTGTAGTTTCCTTCAAATAAATGGGACCGCTTTTAGTTAGACTTCAACGGCAGGATTCCTACATAATTTTACCATATACATATCTACATATGTATTTATAGCGATTGCTGCCATAGAACCAAGATGAAAAATCAGGTCTAGGCTCTTTCTTCTTTATGTTTTTCTCTCTCTAATTTATGCAGTCTCTATAATCCCAATTTTTGCGCCTTTCTTAGTGGCTAATTTTAGAATAAAAAAGTAAAAAAGAAACAAACTGCGAGTAAATGTAGTAAGAGCAAGTTAAAACAGAGAAAACAGTATAATTTTATTTATTGCCGTCATAAAGCAAAAATTAATTTGTTAGTGTCAAGATTTTCACGTCCCATGTACAATGAATAGGGGATGATGGAAATTGAATGATCCACTTTCTCGTAATAGATTATAAAAAAAAAGAAAATGTTAACACGATCAGATATTGACAATGAATTATTTGCTACACAAAGGAAAAGATGGGGCTAGGATGGAGAAGGATGGTTATAATACAGGCTGCATATGGATATCATATGGACTTGGAAGGATAGTTATTTGGCTTTGACTAATAATTCAAGTTTATATAAATCCAAGTTCAATTTTCTCTTTAGTTTTCTTGGGCAACAGAAAATATGATGAAGATAAGGTTAAGTTGTGCTCGAGGTCAAGGCAGATATACTCAAACCAAAGATTCAGCTAACCTGGGCTTGTTTGCAGCGCAAATATCATATTTACGCTGCAAGATTGCATTACTGAAGCATATTTTATTTATGTATATTTAGTCATTGGTAATGAACAAATAATGATGCTAATGAAAATGAATTACATCTAGGAGCTTATTTTTCTTATGCAGATGAAGCTCTATGATCGTCGCCTAACTAAAAGAGGGGCAGTACAATCTTATGAAGGGCATGTCAATTCTCATACACGCCTACAACTTGGAGTTGACGGGGATGAGAGATTCGTTATGTCAGGTCTGAACCATATCTGATGCAAGGACTATTACTTTTAGCTTGTATTTGGTTTAGCTTTCATTTCGTGTTACTCTTAATATGAAAAATTAGAATTTCATGAAGAGTGGGAGT